GAAAAGGCCCGCAAGGATGACCCCCAGAGACAGGCAGCCAGAACGACGGGAGTGGGAGTCCCGGTCAATCATCATCAATCATTATATTCTACTTTTGCACGTAGTTTCGTAAAGAAAATCACCACAACCAAACATATTCTCATTTCTATACCTACATAAAACTAAAAATACCACTTCATCCAAACATATTCCCATTTTCTACACAAAAACCAATAATCTACTTTTTCCATCAGAAATTTTGAAAACTAGAAATTCCCATTGGAAACGTAACCAAACATCCCCTATAGTACTTTCGCCTCTCCAGAGGGTATGCCTAAGAATGATTTTCCCTTGGATTTATCCTTAACTTATTAGGCACCTAGGGGTATATAAAATAAGGCCTTTTTTTTCGCAAACCTAAATTCGACTACCAACTCACAAACAATTGAAAAATATAACATGAGAAAATAGGGAAAATTATATTTTTCGTCCTTTTACCCACTTTTTAAATATTGTTCCTAAACATTTTGAAGTTACAATATTAGTCATTAATCATGTCATTTTTAACATAATTGGTCCACCATTTATTTTTCCGTAAGTTAGATGGAAAATGACATGTACCTCCCATATGCCTTCAATCTTCAAAACACATTGCGTATTGTTAAAATATAATTTTGTAATCAAAATTTGATTGAAATTCGAAATTATGTAAATTCCAAAAAAACAAAATCGATATATATTGTTCTAACATATTTTGAGAAATAATTGTTACAAATTGAAATATTGTTCTAAAAATTGAAATATTGCTAAATAATCAAGATTTTCGAAATTCAAATAAAAAAGTAAAAACATTGTCTGAAAATATAATAAAAATCCGATCGGAACATGAAAGCTCATTTCCAATCTTCACCCATATTTAATAATGTAAAAATCAATAACTTATTTCAAATTATTTTCAGAAATATTGTCCAAAAAATTATTATAGTGTTTTAAAACCGGGATTTTTTTTTTCAAATGAAAATTATTGCTTTAAAATAAAATAAAAATCCAATCATAATAGGCGAAAAACAAAACTATGTTCAAATTTTAACCCTTATTTAAAAATCTAAAACTCAATATTTATTTTCAAAATTAATTCAGCAATATTCTTTAAAAAAATCAAAATATCGTCTAAAAAATATATATGGTTTTTTAAAATCTGCATTTTCGGAATTCGAATGGAAAATGTTATTTTAAAAAATAAAATAATAATTCTATCGAACTATCCAGAATAAGAAAAATCTATTCCAATTTTCATCCATATTTATTGATGTAAATCTCGATGTATTTTCTCAAAATTAGGATTTTTGCTATTGACTAGAGGTGAAAATTGGAACGGAAATTTCTAATTCCCCAATTCCATTCGATTTTTTTTGGTATGAAACAATATTTTTTATTGGAATTTCAAAAATTAA